TGGGGACTCGTGTTATTAATCATTTCTATCACATTTCTCTGTCTTTAAAATTTTCGGGCAATAACAAATAAAAAATCTGGGGTGATAACTAATAAGCCCGGGGAAAATAACTAATAAGAAAAAAAATAAATAAATATGCGGTAATAATTGTGATTAATAACACGTAAATCCCCGTCATGCGATCATAATGAGACGGTGAATAAATAAACTTTCATCCATTTTTCACGATTATTTATTAGCAAATCCTAATAAGCTATTATTGCTATTTGTTTAGTTAACACACGCTATAAAACGATGGATAAAAATAGGACACGATATTGAATCGGGTGAGGAAATACAGGATGCAATAAAAGACTTGGCAGGAACACACGTTGCCAATATTATACCTAATCGTGAGGGTTTGTATATCTTGTTTCTTCTAAGTTAAAAAAGTAATAAGTATTAATTAATCAAACTAAATAAAGCAAATAACAAGTTGGGAATGATACATGGAATTTCTAATTGGCACGAATAGACTTGGCCGGATGAGAGAGAAGAAGCCGGGTATATTTTGGCTAGGTCATTACCATGGTTAGGACCATGGAAAAAATATGCACCTGAACAAATTATAAAAATTACGAAAGACCATATTTTCAAAAAGCCGGAACCAATGCTATCTGAACATACGATACCTCCTAAGTCTTGGACTATGCCAACGCCACAAATTCAAAGTATATACTATTGTACGATTATACCTTAGTTTTGTCAATCTAAATTTAATTATTTATTTGTTGTTTAATAGATAAAAATATAATGAATAAATCAACTATTGAATGTCAGGAAAACTTGACGGTAAGATTTTATTAGCTAAGATTGCCTACCAAAGGTATTTTAGCTTGCCAAAGTATCTTTGGAAATTTGTTATATTTCAGTATAATACCAAGAATTCTTAAAATCTAAAAAATCACACTTATCAGTACGATTGAACTAAGAATTTTTTCTTATTTGCACTAAACATTACGGCGTATTTATAAAACATACCAAAATCTGAAAATTTTGACCACGTATAATACTTACTTTTGGCTGTGCTAATCAATAT